CTCAGCCATAAAAATGAAAAATTAGACATTTATAGCTAAATGGATGCACATTGAGGTGATATTCTTAAGTGAAATAAATAGGACACACGTGTAAATACCAAATAGTTTCTCTGGTGTGAAAAACTGAAAGTGTAAGGACGGACGGAAAGGTATAATAATGTGAAATAGGAAGAAAAGGGGCAAAGGGGAAGGGGAAGTGGGAGGGACTGGGGAAAGGAAAGAAGGGAATGGAATTAATATGAGAAAATGAAAAAATAGAAACAAAGTCTTTGTAAAAAAAAAAAAAATTGGTGATTGTTTCCTGAGAATTGTGGGGCAAATATGAATAGATTTTTCTACTACTGTAAGATGTTATAATCTAATAATTATGAGGACTTAGACATTAAGACAAAATGTGCTTCTCCTAGTTCCAACAACTGCCTGTGTTTACAAATGATTTATATGTCAATAAAAAATTAAAGACCATTTCAACCACATTTAAACTTAAATGGCCTCAAATCTTACAACCATGTATTTATTCTGTAACTGCCCACTGGAACACAAGCCAGCAAGAAACCATGATTCATGGAACAAAAAAAGTATGAAGTTCACAAGTATTATATTCCTTATAAACAATTAAAATTGCCAGGCATGGAAGCACATGCCTGTAATCCTAGCACTTGGGAGGCTGAAGCAGGAGGATGGCCATAGGTTTGAGGCCAGCCTGGGCTACATAGTGAGTTTGAGGTCGGCCTGGACTGCATGGTGAGACTACCCCCCAAAAAAAACAAAGAAGTAAAATTGACTTATTAGAAACAATGCAAGTCGGGCCGGGGATTTAGCTCAGTAGCACTGCACCTGCCTCGGAAGCACAAGGTCCTGAGTTCAATCCCAGCAACAAAAAAAAAGAAACAATGCAAGTCAGTGAGGTAAACAATTTAAGAAGTCACATCATGGGAAACAAAGTTTTTCTTTGCCTCTAAATTTCTGCAAACAGAATGAGAATCTCAAAGGGCATCCTTTCCTTAATCACCAGGAATTACCATTTATGGTTTTTGTGTGTGTGTGGTATTGGGAATTGAACACAGGGTCTTTGCACTGAGCTACATGCCTACTCTTTATTTTTTATTTGAGACAGGGTCTTGCTAAGTCACTAAATTACCCAAGCTGGGCTCAAACTTGTGACCCTCTTGCCTCAGCCTTCCAGCCTCAGCTGAAATTACAGGTGTGTGGTCCTATGCCTAGCTTCTTTTTTGGGGTGGCAGGGTTGAATTAAAGCCAGGGCTTCTTGTATGTTAGCCAAGCACTCTACCACTGAGCCACACTCCTAGCCCAACTTACGCATTTTCTTCATCAAAGTTGGCCCTTTTAGATCCAATTTTGTAGAAAGAAGGAAGCTGTGGTGGAGCTGACTTTCCAAATCCAGAAGAAGAACTAGTTGCCCCAAAGGCACTATGGGATTGTTGTGGGAGTTTAGGTTCTTCTTTCTTCCCAGCACTGATGGCAAAACCTCCAAAACCAAATCCCCGTTTAGTGCCAGGGCCACCTTTATTCCAGTTCATGGTGCCAATTATTGACCTGTAAAGAACAAGATGTGTGAATTTTTAAAAGATTTTATTTAACTTTATAAGCAGCCCTACTTTCTTTAATGTCTCTTTCAACTTTGACCCACAATTTTATTTTAGTACTTTGTTTTTTTGGTACCAGGGATTGAACTCAGGACCTTGAGCTTGCAAGGCAGGCGGCAAACCACTGAGCTAAATCCCCAGCCCTCCACAATTTTATTTTAAACTTGTTTTCAATTAAAACTTTAACAATGCACTTCAGGTAGTTAGAAAACCTCAAAGAAGCTGGATGTGACGGCACGCACCTATAATTCCAGCACTCTGGGAGGCTGAGGCAAGAAGATTGCAGTTCAAGCCCAGCCTGGGAAACTTAGTAACTTACCAAGACCTTGTCTCAGAATAAAAAATATAAAGAGCTGGGGATGTAGCTCAGTGTGTGAAGGCCCTGTGTTCTATCACCAGCACCATCAAATAAGAAAACTTCAATCAAATGATATTTCCTAAAATACTAATAAATTGTTATTAACTTTATTCGAATCTCTAAATAGGAATGTAGTATTAATGTTATCCTGTTCAAAGGACAATTGCTTACAAATATTAAGTTGCAAAATACTCAGAAAAAAATAATTTAAGGAATCTAATATGGGCTAGGCATTGTATTAACTAAAGACATTAAGACAGAAAGACTTAATCTCATTTTACCCTTAAAAAACAAACGGAAAAACCCTCAAAAAACAACTCATAATATGCTTGCTATGATAAAGACTGAAATGTTGCTGGATGTGGTGGTGTCACACATCTGTAATCTCAGCACTCGGATTACTAGAGTTCAAAGCCATCTGGGCTACATAGTGAGTTCAAGGCTAGCCTGAATTACATAAGCAAGACCCTGCCCCCCACCCAAAGAGAGATATTATCAGCAAGGCTGTCCCCAAACTAAAAGTTATCCTCTTATAATAACATGTGAAGAATGAAAACTCAATAGGTAAGATCATAGGCAAGTGTCTATAGTCTGCTCAGGAGGCTGAGCAGTAGGATCACTTGAGTCTAGGTGGTCCAGATCAGCCTGAGGAACACAGGCAAGACTCAAAAAAAGACAAGATTAGATATTTGTAGACAGTATCTATGTATGTTCTCAAAAGGGTATTTATGAACCATGCATTCACTGAACAACTACTCACTTAGAACATTATCCCAAAACAAACTATAAAATTGTAGTCTAACTACCTTGTTGCCAAAAGTGTTTAGCCTATATGTAAAGATTACAAAGAAATTTAAGTGTCCTAAAATCAGTTCACAAACTTTATCTTACTAGTCTTGCTTCAAAAAACTTTTTTCACCCAAGCGTGGTGGCACATGCCTGTAATACCAGCACTTGGGAGGATGAGGCAGGAAAATCACTGCAAGTTTGAGGCCAGCCTGGGCTACATATGACTCCAAGAACAGCCTGAACTATACACCAAGACCTTGTCCCCTACAGCCCCAACCAACCAAAAACCTTTTCCTTCATTTTCTGTTAGTTTTTTTTCCTCCCATCAAAACGTTTTGGGGAAGTACTGGGGATTGAACCCAAGGTCTTCATTCTGACTTATATCCACAGCAACCTCCCCCAAACCCAGCCTTTTTTTTGAGACAGGGTCTTGCTATGTATTCCACATCAGTCTTGTGCTCACTATGTACCTAGGCTGGCTTGAACTCATGGCCAGCCTTCTGAGTGCTGGGGACTACAGACATGCACCACCATGCCTGGCTTTTTATTTTGAGATAGAGTCTCAGTAAATTGCTGAGTTGCCCAGGCTGGGCTTTAACTTGTCATTTTCTTGCCTCAGCCTCCCAAAGTGCTGGGATTTAACACAACACCCTGCCCAGCTTCAAAGAACCTTTTTTAATGACATAGTTCACCTAAGTTTTATAGGAGAGCAGAAAACTCACAAAGCAAAAAGGAACAAAATTTAAAACTATTTGCCGGGGATTTAGCTCAGTGGTGCCTCTGGCTGCCTCGCAAGCGCAAGGTCCAGAGTTCAATGCCTCAGTACAAAAAAAATTTTTTAATTATTTGAAATGCCCTCTCTTGATTTGTAGTTTTATCTTATTTTCTCTATGCCTGTGTATACACATACCAATGGTGCTACGGACAGACCTCACTACAAAGGCCTTGGGTTCAATCCCTAGCACTGCAGAAAGAAAAACTAAGTTCAGGTAGATTTTAAGAACCATATAAACAATCTCACAGCAAAAAATCTTTCAATGGCAT